TGGAGAATTGGCGCCTGGAGGAGGCGGCGGTGGCAGCGCTACCGGAGGGGCCCCTGTGCGCGGTGCTCCCCCCACCCCCCTTCCCCCCAGCTTGGCTTCGCTCCTGGAGGAGTTGTTGTTTTTCTTGGTTGTTTTTTTGGTTTTTAATACAAATCTGCGCATTGATTTTTAAACAAACAAACAAATCCCCCCCGCACACAAGCCTGCCTCTGGGAGGGAAATAGCCAGGTGAAATCTCACTCTGTTTCCATGGACAACCCGTCCATTATCACCCAGGTGACTAACCCCAAAGAGGAGGAGATCCTGTCCTGCACTCAGGATAAAGGTGAGCTGCTCTCTTTCTCCATATTTTTATTTTTGCTTGTTTGTTTTGTTTTTTCTTTCCTGGAAATCGCTGCTTAAAAACGCACGTAGTATCAACTTGGAATTCTTCAGCGACTGTATAATCCTCTCTCCAGGCTGCTGGGAATAGAGGAAGGCTTGTTGGGGTGGGTTGTTGTTTTCTTTTGTGGGATGAAGATATTTGCGTGAAGGTCTCTGAAACTGCTTGCTGGATACAGCCGAGAACTCGTTACAGTGTTTAAATACTGACTTTAATCAGTAATTATTTAAATAAAATACTCTTGTTCCTTGAGGGTGGGCACGGTAACTTTGTAAGGTTGTCACTTGGCAGTTAGTGCCCCGCTTCAGGGAAAGGATACCTGTGCTGGATGTGGTGGAAGGTTTTGAAATCTCGGCTTCAAAGATTTTAATCTTTTTCCCCTCGTTGTTTGGAAAAGATTTCTCTCTGCTTTCCTGTGTTTCTCCCTGCCTCACGTTTTAAGAATCTGTGGAGCTCTCAGGTTGGTTGTTGGAGGATACTGGTGCGTCTCGGAAAGAAACACGGGCTACTTTTAAAAGCCAGCTCTGTTTACTCCGCAGATAAATAGTTGTTGCTTGCGTAAGGCATCATGCTTAGATTGTGTTTAACTCCAAAATAAGATGAATCCAGCCTGGCCAAAGGAGCTGCTTCTCCTCAAAAGTCTAGACGTTGACGATTGACCTTAACCTTGTTTCCTTTTGGAAGCTCCGAGGGGTCTTGGGCTGTAAGTGGTTGTGTCCTTGCAGCTGGAGGTGAAAAAGTGCGGGTAAGCAGCAGGGTTCCACTTCTAAGGAGTTGTTTGTGATTGCTCTGGAGTTTTGAAGTTATTTGGATGTTGAGTTTATGCTTTGTTACAGGCAGTGCTAGTAAAAAGGGGAGAAAGGACAGAAATTAGAAATAAAGCGTGTGACAATGTTTCCTATAGGTATCGTGATAGGCATCTGAGTGGTCTTCTAAAAATGGTAGATTGATATATCTCCATCTAAAATCGACGCTTTTAGTACCCAAAAAGCTTCCATTTTTGTGTGGCTCATCTTGTAAATAGGATAGTGTTGGAGAAGTTGCTCCCTGTTACTTTCAGAAGAAAGGCTGTACGTGAAATCCCTGTCTTCTCATCTCACCGATGCTGACTGCAGAAGAATTATGGAGGTAGATCAAAAAAAAAACCAAACCACCAGGTTAGGGGGTGTTTGAACAAAAATATATTTTTTTGTTCGTTGTAGGAGTGCTAAAGTAACTCTCTAATTCATATGGCTTGTGAAGTGGTAATTCCACTGTGAGGCCTTGTTTGTCTCCAGATTTCTGATGTTTTCCTCTGTTTTGGCAACGCTGAGCATGGGGCATCTACAGCAAATAAGGTGCCGGTTCTCTGCCTACGATGTCTCCTCAGACCTGGTTTGAAGCAGGCTTATGGGATACGGTGCTCAGATGTCATCGTGGTCTTAACGGCCTGTATCGTTGTACGTACTGGAAGAGCTTCATTAATATTTTTAGCAGCTGGTCGAAGTTTCAGCGTAAAAAAGCCAGTTGAGGCAAGTAGAAGAAGATTTGACAGCTCAAAATAAGAGTAAGCATCCACATCAAACAAGTGTCTTCGGAGCCCTCAATGCAGCGAACGGCGCTGCGTAGCGCAAACATGCATATAACTTGCATAACTATGCAGTAACTTGCATAATGTACATTGTGTTCTTGCTGTCGGCTTTTCTTTGGCAGAAAATCATAATGTTTTAATTGCATTGCAGGGGCTTTTCGGGCTGCGTGTCGGCAAGGGTGGCCTGGGCGAGAGCAGAAGGAGAGTAGTTGGGAGTTTGAGACAAGGAAACTTCAGCATGGTCTTAATATAGGAGGTGGATTAACGTGGTTTTTTTTTTTCTGTATTTTTATTTCTTTTTAAATGTGGTTAAAGTGCATGCTTTGGATTGACGATGTGCTCTGTGGTAAGGCTCTCAAATCGTGCCAGAGCAACTTTTGCAGAAAGAAAATTGCAGGTCTGTCCGTCCTGGGCTCGGGAAGGAGAGTGCTGCTTGCTCGTACCTCTGCTGCTACAGGTTTCTCCCACTGCTGGGGGTGCCGAGCTTGCGAAAACCCATTGTGCTGCCTGCCTTCCTTGCGTGGCCACTTATCGCATCGCCCAATTTTCTGTTAGATTTCCTACAGTTTGAGCAAAGCCTTTGGGTCCGGTGAGCTACAAGAGAGCCCGAGGCTGAGAGGGTGAATACAGGTGGGCTCTTAGTGGGAGAGTGATGTTTAAAGTGAGTCTTCACTGCTAATTCAGATTGAACCGAATGTACTGGTACAAAATGGCTAACAAATATGTTGAGGCATCATGAATTAACTCTTAATTTAACAAATGCAAGAATCACCTGAGCCTATCTTGTACGATTTGATAATACAGCGAATTAAAACGGCACTGTGCTGTGTGGGCAAAGGCTGACCAGTTTAATGAAAACCCGCTTTTTCCTCCGAGTTTGGCATTTGGCTGCAGACATATGTTCCAGAGTACTAAGTGGCATGTAGCGGCTTCGGGAGTCAGGGTTTTCTTAGAGGTTTTGGAACCTTCTGTTGGTGTTTCTTAAAGAAAAAATGGATTTTTTTTTTTTCTTGTTAAGCTGGAGAGAAGCAGTTTTACAGTAGCTGAGCAACTGCTCAATAGTTCATGCGTATACCTTTAAGTGTTTGATTTTTTTTTTTCAAGATTTTTTTGAAGCTTTTAATCAGCCGTGAGTCCAACATTCAACTTGATTTATTTTTTTTAATGTATTTATGTTTTAAAAGGAGCTTGATGTACAGCGTATGCTTATGCCAAATTTCTCTTGTGCAAGGGAGCGCGGTTGGCAAGAAACAGCTGTTCTCTGATCGTGGGGCAGTTATGTTTTTGGGTAAATACTATGCTTTAGAAGTAAAAATGCCCAGATATTCTCTTCGTAACCCAGATGTATTAAAAATTAGCTTTTGAGATAAGTGAAACTGTGACAACTTGTTAAAAAGGAGCTTATTAGTACTGAGATGGAATTGTTAATGTTTAATTTTAACAGTAAAAAATTTTGAAGCTAGAAAAAAACAGATCTTGGTACATGAACCATTCCCTAAGATGTTGCCACATGGTGGTGCACTGCATTTAGTTGTCTGTCAAAATGAAAACTGAGCATGGAAAGCTGCTACAATCGTTTTTTTATTATTATTGTAATGTTTTCCCTGAAATGCCTGTGGTGTTCATGCTCCTGGAGGATTTTGGTCCCTATCTATGTCATTAAATGAGTTCTGGGAAATAGAAACTTAACGTTCTCCCAATTGGAAGCGATACATATGTAGGCGATTAGAAGTATTTTGAGCGCTAAATTCGGGGAGAATTTAATTCCCTGGGAGGTTTTTAAGTAATGAGAATAGTAGTTCTTCACAGAAATATTTTACGTGGTGGTCATTTGGCACTTCTGGAAATCAGAAGTATTAAGAAGACTTGTAACTTGAAATTAAAATGGAGACTTAAGTATGTGAAAAGGAGTTTGTTACATCAGCGACAAATGTGAGCAACTTAGAAAAAATGTAAAGAAAAACTGTCAAGAAAAACTGAAAATCTGAATCTCGGTATAATCAGTTCTGCAGCTAAAATCAGCTGTTTATTTTTTAGGAAAAGTATTTTTATTCAGTTGAGCAGTGACTTTTAATATAAAATCTATACGGTTAAATCTATAGAAAGCAGTGGAATGCTGACATGTCTTGAACTGAATGTAGTATAGAGAGTGTGATCACAGATGGGCAGTAGGCAGTCAGACCAAACAAGCGATTTTTCTTCTTTTTTACCTACGTGCTTTAATTTGATCCTTGTAACTGATGCAATTTCTTGGCTGTTTCCATGTGCCAAGTTAAGTAGTAGCGTAATAATAGTCCAGTCCTTCCTTAGGTACCAAATCCTTCAGGTTGTGATGGTGTTTTTTCTCTCTTCAGATACGTGTTTCCTGACTTTTATAAAATTTCTCTGTCAGCTGAGCATCTATTTTCAGTTATTCAGAGTAACTGCGTGTTTTAATATCTCTACAGAAATGTGATTTTTTTTTTTTTCCTGCAATAAATTATTTGAAAAAGGTTCACGGTGGAACCTAAACCATGATAATTTTTTTTATTGAACAATATAATTCCCTGAGGATGCTTTCACAAACAGGCAAACTTTTTTGCCTTTCTTTCTTTCAAATAAAATTGGAAAAAACAGCAATGAGACCAGTATTCATTATCACTTAAAACATTCTTAAGATCTTAAGACACTAAATTAAGTGTCCTTGTGTTTGAAAATATATGAAAAAATATTTTAAATATTCTTTTTTTTGCCCTTATATATATCATTGGGATTCAGAGTACTCAAACGTTTGATGATATGTTAATGTTTCTGAGACAGTCTCAACAAAGTTTCATAATATTAAATACAGATTTTAACTTTAAAGTAGCATTTAAAAAAAAATATGGATGTGGAAACTGCTCCAGCACTCCATTGGAATGTGAATTGCTCACGGAGGGTAAAATTTTAAATCATTAACTAATGACATAGCTGTTATATGAAACCAGAGTAACCATACAGTAGGTTTTATGTTCCAGGGAGACTGTAGTAACCTGTAGTAACCCAAGATTTGATTTAGGGTAGCAGCTAACGAGCTGAAGTTATACTGGCAGTAACATGAATGATAACTTGCTTGAATGTCTTAATATTCAGTCCGTGTCTGTAAGTTGCAGCATTATTATTTCTCCATAGTACGTCATCTCACGGTCATATTGGTTCCAATGCAGGGATTTAACTAAAGTGTTGAGAAGTTTAAGATGCCTTTTAAAAAAAACCAAAAGTTGACCAACATTTTGTCAATTCAGTATTCAGAAATGCAAACGGCATTTTCTGAGATAATCAGTAAAATGCAGTGTGATCGATGCTACACTTCATCTTTTGGAATTTAATTGGAGTGTTACAGATAAGCCTCTGG